AAATTTCGGTTTTACTCAATTATTGAAAAAAATAGCCAAACGAATGGAAACACATGAACTATGAACCAAAGGCTGAGGGGACCCCCAACTGGACCAGGCCCTCTGAATAGGTGAGACAGTTGATTGGCTTGATCTGTTTGGGAGGCAATTAGGCAGTGGGACCGAGTCCTGTGCTCATTGCATGAGTTGGTTGTTTGAAACCTGGAGCTTATGCAGGGATGCTTGGCTCAGTCTGGGAGGAGGGGTTACTGGACCTGCCTGGACTGAGTCTACCAGGTTGATCTCAGTCCTCGGGGGAGGCTTTGCCCTGGAGGAGGTGGGAATGGGGGATGGGCTGGGGGTAAGGGAAGGGGGTGAGAGGGGGGAGAACAAGGGAATCTGTGGCTGATATGTAGAACTGAATGGTATTGTAAAATAAAATAAAAGGAAAAAATAATAATAAAAATAAATCTTATTTATAAAAAAAGTTAAACCCTTCCTTTTTGATTAGACAGAAAAGGGGAGGTGCTGTGGAATGTTCTGTGTGCTGTGAATGTGTTGCTCTGATCGGTTGATAAATAAAAAGCTGATTGGCCAGTAGCCAGGCAGAAAGTATAAGCAGGATAAACAACAAGGAGAATTCTGGGAAGAGGAAGGCTGAGTCAGCAGACACCAGCCTGCTGTCCAGGGAGCAGCACATAATGGCACACAGGGAAAGCCACGGAGCACATGGTGATATATAGATGAACAGAAATGGGCTGAGTTTAAGTTAAGAGTTAGTCAGTAGTAGGCCTGAGCTAATGGCCAAGCAGTTTTAGTTAACACAAGCCTCTGTGTGTTTACTTGGGTTTGAGCAGCTGCGGACTGGGCGGGACACAGGAACCTTCAACTGCAGACCATGGCGTATTGTTGCTTGTTTTGTACCTTTTGGGGGGCCTGCCCCCCAGCTCCCAAATAAACCACACACAGAGGCTTATATTTAATTATAAATGACCAGCCTTAACTTGGCTTGTTTCTAGTCAGCTTTTTTAACTTAAATTAGTCCATCTATCTTTTGTCTCTGGGATTTTTACCTTTTTCTATTTCTGTATATCTTTCTTTCTCCATTGCTGGTTGTGTGGCTGGGTGGCTGGCCCCTTGAGTCCTCCTTCTTCTCTGGCTATTTTCTCCTTCCATATTTCTCCTTCTATTTATTCTCTCTGCCTGCCAGCCCTGCCTATCCTTTCTCCTGCTTTGCTATTGGCCATTCAGTTCTTTATTAGACCATCAGGTGTTTTAGACAGGCACAGTAACACAGCTTCACAGGGTTAAACAAATGCAGCATAAACAATAGTAACACATCTTAAAATAATATTCTACAAGAATGGCAATGTTGTTTTTTACTCTTTTGGGTGGGCCTGCCACTCAGCTCCCAAATAAATCACCCAAAGAGGCTTATTCTTAATTATGAATGCCCAGCTTTAGCTTGG